GGGAGTGCAGGTAAGGAGGAAACTAACAATATTCCAGTCTCTTCTCATTTAGGCATTCATAATATGCATTACTGCATTTGTGGTTCAAAGCTCTACCAATTTCCCAAATAAGAATTAAAAAAAAAAAAAATCTGCAGTCATGTAGGGGGAATGACAAAACCCTGGATTCTTTCAGATAAAACGTGCAAGGAACATTTGCTTGTTTCCCCTCTGCTTGTTATTTCCACAATTGTTGTCAACTATATAAGGTAATACAGATAATAAAACGATCATCATTTGATAGGAAAAACAATTTGTAGGATCATGAAGAAAATAGCTGTTCTTGCAGAAAACAAAACAAAACAAAAAACAACAACCCAGACATCTTTCTGCTACTGAAAAAAAGCTAGACCTAACATTTGCATCTCTTATATGGTGAAAGTGCTAATGCTAATGGGTATTATCTCCTTTTGTGCCTATAGTTGAAAAAGTACAACATGCCTTAAAAAGACCTTTAGTCAATAGCCCAAAATATCACACAGTGAAGATGTTGTCACTGTATCAAAACTGGAGTCTCTGCGCTCATCTGATTGTTCCCTTGGTCATATGCAGGCCGGTCAGGGCACATTCCAGCTGCACTGCTGGCTTCGAGATCGCTGAGCCCAGAATTCTCTTCTGCAGGGCTCCTTAAGTACAGGTCGGCCACCTAGTCCTGGGCTTAGCTGACTGCATCAGGGCTCAGAGACTGACCTGGAAGCAGCCTACAGTTGGCCAGCAGTTTATAGGGGTGAGACACAGCAGCCTTGCTCTCTGCTTCATGATGATGGCTATATCAATCAGAGCTGCTCTCTAGGAGGGTTTGAATCTGACGCAGAAAGAGGTCAGCAGTAGACTGCCCCAGAAATAGAGGGACAAAGAGAAATGATAATAAGTAGGAGCCATGAATAAGCAGAAACAAGTCAGCAGAAGCCCTGAAGTGAAGGGAAGATGAAAGCAGAGTTAGTTGATGCAGAGACAGAAAAGATGAGCCGCCATAATGTCACAGCATGGAGGAGAGCAATAAGTGGCTATTTCTCTAGGAGCAGTTTCCAGAGTTGAGATGGCAGAAACTCCAGGTGACCCAGAGCATGAGAACAACTCCAGGTGCCCCAGAGCGTGAGGACTGTTCTCCTAAGGTTTGGCTCAGTGCTGCCACAGAGGCACCAGTGCATTGTGTTGTCTAAAATCTGGTTTCTAAAAGCATCTTTATCTTATTCATTACAATTCCTTGAGCATTCTACTCTGTTGAACTTACAGACTATTTGGGGAAATTATTGCTTAATGACTGAGTCAAGCAGACAGAGTCTGACAGTTTTTTTTCACTGTCACATAATTCTTCAATAATGTTGATTAGCAAAAAATATTATGCTAAAAAAGAAGAGGGTCACCTGCATGGAGTTAACTTCTTACACTTGAACCAAATAACATTATTTCATGCACTAGACAGAGATTTGTGAATTTATTATGAGTTTAATGAGGTGTGAAAACCAACTGATTCACAGAAAAGAGATGTTTCACAATAAGCACATACTAGTGCAGAAAAATCATAAAACAGATGTCTAGAAGAGTAGAGACCACTTTAAACCCTGTATTCAGTAAACAGAGAAGTAGACAGAATGACCAAGCACATTCTACGTCAGTTTAGAATGAATGTGGAATTAAGCCCATCACAGGTGAGTGTTTGGTATCACTGTATGCAAATACACCAATGGTTGTGGTATTCAATACAGTTCCTGGTCTTTTCCTTGTGGAAAATGTCTATGTACATTTAAGTTTCTCTCTGACATTAGAAGGGTCTTACCCTTCAGTGCTGATAAAGTGAGTGGGAATAATCCATAAATTCTTTAGTCTACTAATACCTTTGGAGGATAACAAAATGTAAGAAGCACAGTATTTTGATCATCCAGTGGTATCTATCCCATTTTTAACTTAGGTGTGTTTATGGTTTTCTTTTTTTCTTTTTCTTTTTCTTTTTGAGTCATAGTCTCACTCTGTCGCCCAGACTGGAATGCAATAGCACACTCACGGCCACCTCAGCGTTGACCTGCTGGGCTCTGGTGATCCTTACACCTCAATCTTCCAAGTAGCCGGAACTACAGGTGCGCGCTACCATGCCCGGCCAATTTTTTTGATTTACTGTAGAGATGAGGTCTCACCAAGTTGCCCAGGCTGGTCTCAAACCCATGAGCTCAGGCAGTCCACTTGTCTCGGTCTTCCAAAGTGCTGAAATTATAGGCTGAGCCACCAAGCCCAGCTGGTTTTCTTTTTTAAAAATTTGGTTACAAGATTCTGAAACCAAAATTATTTTCTGCTGCAAAGCAAAATGCATCACATTAACTTTTCCACTAAGGCCAATTTATACAAATCCGGAATTATTAACTAAATGACCTTAGTATGCAAGGAAAGAAAGAATGTTACATTAAGGTATGTGAGAAAAATTAAGACTTGAAACACTCCTGTCTGCTCAGTTCTCTATCGCTTCAAAGATGGAAGGGACACAATTCATTTTCCACATTTATCTCCATGTATCTCCCCAAAGAGAGGTGGCTAAAATGCTAGCCCACAGTCTTGGCTTCTTCGCATCCCTAACTTCTTTGCCTTCCTTCTTCTTCCCAGTCTCTCTGAGCTTTACAAAGAACTAGGACATTTGTGGAAGATTTAAGATGCCACAGACTACTCTAAACAGTTAATGGATTCAGAAACAACAACAAAATCAAAGAATTACATATTTTTCTCTAAAAATACCGTATCTATGTAGACATTTTGCTCTAAATGTCCCTAATTTGATATTCAGTGATTGGTCAGAGTAAGGCCCTTCCATAAGATGTATCAAGCCAATAAATAGGCACTATTACTTGATCTCTAAAATTGCCCCATTATTGAAAAATCTACGAAACTGAGAAATTAAAATGCCCTTTTCTGCTGACACAAAATTCTTAGAATTCAATTTCTCTGCAGCTTTTTTGAGAAAATAAAATTTAGATGTTTCCTCAGTATTATGCTGAATCAAGCTAAGGTATTTGGACTTGGAAGAAAACTACAACAACAATAATATTAAAGCTTTGGAAGTTGGAGTGAAAAAGATGAAACTCATAGAGAAAACATTTATATTATTATCAAGTAATTCTAGAGGAAAATCTCTGTTTTGCAGATATAACCTTACATCTAGTTTAGAAAGTATACTTAGAAGAAAATACATTTTTATAAAGGCTTTCAAATACCGATGATTTGTAGTTCTGAGCACCTTTTAATTGCTATTTTCAATTAGCAATTTTTGAGACTTCCTGGGCAATGCTCCTGTTCAGTGAGCTTGATTTGATTGTATAAGGAGGAGTTGAGCTGAAACACATTCTAGTATCTTTGGCAGGCCAGGCTTAGGTCAGGAGATCTCAGAAGAGCCAAGATGTAGGAATATAGCCCTACAATTGAACTTCAGACTGGCTCGCGTGCATGTTTTGTTCTACTAAATTGGCTAAGAGATTTATAGCTAGAGCCCACATCATGATAATGTTGGATAAAACTTTGTAAAAAGCATATCCCTGCAACCTTCATGAATCAAAGCCATTCTCAGAATCAGGAGGTAACTAAAAAACTCAGCCCTACTCTTGCCTAAACAACTTAAATTCAAAATGGGAATGCAAATGAAACTAAGTAAATAGAGTTGTGTTTCCAGGTAACCTATTATCCTATAGGGAGAAATAACCTGAAGAAGATTCTTACTCTTACCGGTGAAGTGTGGCAAGTTTAACAGTTACCATCTCCTGACTATCATTTATACACCATATTTTATTGAGAATCTTTTATTTTCAAATCATTCATAAATCACTACCATACTCCTAAGAAGCAAAATCGGCCCCTATGTTGAGGATATATAAAAGCTAAAACCCAGAAATAGCTCAAGACATTGCCAGATCACCCACAAGACAATGTGGACATCTTAATTTGCTCTCTTTACCCTGCTGTCAATTTAGCCTGTTAACATATTTCATTAAGAGGGAGGAAGGAAGAAGAGTTCCTACAATGCCTGTATATATCCGTTGAGTCACTTGAACACTTAGTTACTGAATGTCTGTAGAAGCAAGGAATAAACATGTACTTCTCTATGCAAACAAGTACACAAAAACATTTGTTCTCTATCTGCTTCAGAAAATTATGTGACATCAAAGGAGATATAAAATAAAATTCTCAAAAAAACCAGACATTTCCATCTGGCCTTCAAGAAAGACAGCCTTTTCAGAAGTTGCCGTCTCCAGCTGGTCATGGTATAATGCGTATGATGTGATGACTGGGACAGGCTGATATGTCTAGAAGGTGCCATATTTAGATTATGCTTCCTACCTGCAGAATAGGAGAGGTCAAAGAATTGGATAGTAAAAAAGAAAAGCTTCATCACAATAAGGTTTGTACCAGAGGCCAGAAGGAGTCAGAAACTGGTGAAGTGGCCCAAATGAGAGCTGAGTCTATGTCTGCTCTCATAGACTCAGCCACGATTGGATTACAAATAAAAACTTCTTGTAGGAATGAGAATGTAGTATTGCTAGAGTTGCTGATTTCTCCAGAAAAAAGTGGAAAATTAGATGTGTGTGTAGATATCCCCATTTTAAAATGAGAGCAACGAATGTAAAAAAATTGTGTGGGTCAAACAAAGCAAGTCTGTGGCCTACACATAGCCCAAAGTGAATCTTCTTCTAATCTCAGTGAAAAAATGTGAGTAGTTAAAATGATTTGCTTATGACTCAAACGGTTTGCCTAATGCTTGCATAGATGAAAGTATAATATAAAATATAATTTTGAACAGAATCTTGTAGGTACCTGAAAATATGGAAATAACCGACAGCATTCTGCCTCAGTAGACTGATGAATGTCATCATAAACACAAGAGACTCATAAGATAGGTGGGAAAAAAGTCTGAAATATTTCATTTAAGAAATCGATTCAATATTCATTAAATATTACTTTCCAAGTAAAGTAGGTCACCTTACCTGTGCTCTCTTGAGAATGTTGTGCTCTTCAGTGCTTGCTATTTGATAGACTTTTGCCATAACTATTGTTTTTCCCAAAGGCCCTCATGCTGTCCCCAGCTTCTGGTTGTAATCTCACATTTGGGATGGTAAAAATAGAAGACACTGTGGACAGAATGAAAAGTTTCCATTTATATATTTAGAGATGTATTTGCAATATTTTCTTTTTTAAAAAATGACAATTTAAATGCAGTTCTGGATGTCCAGCACAGAGAACATTGTGGAGATGTCAAGTGGACACAGGCACACACACATATACACACGATCGGACAGTCTGCCTTCCCCGCAGCTCTGAAGACATTTCACACTTCTCTGATCTAGAATGATTAACTTGGATTTGGAAACAGTATATTTTGCCCTTTCTTTGTGCCACTCTTTTATTCATTCATTGGAGAAATATATATTGAGCTCTACACTGTTCTAAAATTTGCAGAATCCTGTAGTAAATAAATACATCAGAATGCAAGGAAATCCTTGTTCTTGTAGATTCTAGCTGGGGAGACAGGCAACAACCAACCAGATATAACATATCAAATAGTGGCAAATCTTATGAAGAAAAATAAATCAGGGATGAGAAACTGGAAGTTTGGGGTGGATGGTCAGTGAAGGCTCCCTCAAAAAGAGACATTTAAACAGAGACCCATAGGAGGTGAAAGGACAGCCATGCTTACGGGGGAGAGCAAGTATAAAATGGAGAAGAGGGAACAAGAGCTGACTCTAAGGACACAAGAAGGGGAGCAGGCAAGCCAGTTAGAGGCCACTGTAAAACACCAGAGAGAGAGAGGATAGCAAGTGACTTAGCATGGGGTGGTAGCAGTGAAGTGAGGAGAGGTGAGACTCTCTCTATATTTTTAAGGTCGCATAAACAGGATCTGTGGAAGAATTAGATACGGAGTGTGACAAAAGAGGAGAAGTCGAGTATAGCTTCCATCAACTGGAAGAATGACACTGCCATGGACTGACAAGGGTAAGATTACAGAAGGAACATGTTCAAAGGAAAAATGAAGGAGTAGAGTTTTGGTAATATTATGTTGAGATGTCTACTAGATGGACACGTTGAGTAGTCAGTTGGATATGCAAGTCTGGAGTCGGGGAAAACAGAACAGGAGATGGAAATTGGAAGCTGTCAGTCTAGAGAAGATATTTAAATAATGAGATTAGATGAGATCATCTAGGATCCAGAGAGTGTGTACAGATAGAAAGATCTGAGGTTTCTGCCCAAGAACACTCTAATGCGAAAGGTCTGGCTGATGAGGAGACATCAGCAAAGTAGTCTGAAAAAGAAAGTTTAGTATTCTAAACTAAAGGGAAACCACAAGAGAATCCTGTCCTGGAAACTAAGTGAAGGAGGTGTTGCTAGGAGAAGATGATGGTCAATTGTGCAGGATCTGCCAACAAGCAGGAAAAAGACCATTGGGTGGAGACTTTGAAAATGGCAGTTCTTGAGTTGTGGGCACAAAAGACTAGTTGCAAAGTATTAACAACAGCATGGAAGCCTAGGAACTGGAGGCAGCAAACATATTTGAAACCAATGTGCTTTTTAAATTTTTAAATAGATGACATGGAGCTACATTAAGGGTATCGTGCTTTTTTAGGATAACACGAGAACATATACAGGAATATGTGGGAAAACCTACAAACCCTAGGGCTGAAGAGATCCTTTGGGATTAATGGTGTCCATATCACTTGCTCTCTAAATGAGAAATCGGAAGCACAGATAGCCTGAGGCTTGTCCAAAGTTCCCTGGCTAGTTAACAGTGGAGCTGAAGCTAGGATCCAGGTGGTCTGATTCCCAGTTCGATGCTCTTCACATTGGACCAATTTGTTGGCCTTCTTTTACTGGGTTTGAGTTTTGCAAATTAGCAAATGAGTGCAATAAAACCAAGGACTCTGTGCTGTGAAGTGTATTTTGTTCATTTACTTTGACAAGGGTAGCTCAGCTTCAATTATTTATGTAACTTGATAGTATACGCAGGAGAATGCCCTATGGTGTATTTGGGAAAAAAATCATGAATTTCTTCTAAATCAGTCCTCCATTTACTTCCCTGAATCAAATCTTTGAGAAGTGGGGAAAGGCTGCTAGGTTTCAAGACAGAGGGAGAATGACAGGGTGCCACCAGAAGTAGCCAGCTTTAACTGCTTGGTCCCCAGGCAACTGCACCATTATTCTTGCTTAATGCATTTAGAGTTCTTGCTTCAGTGAGTGGCACACCAAGGCATTATCTATATATTTTGGTGTGATGCAACTTGATGAGGTTTTAAGGAATAGAACAATAAAGAAAGATGGTACACTGCTATGTATTTTTCCAAAGCAAGAGTCTGGCATAAACATACAACTTCATGTTTACACTAATCTAGGGAACAACTGCAGGGCTCTGTGTTACTCAGGCTGCAACAACACCTGGGGCTCTTCTCACAGGTCAGATACAGTAAAGTAGGCCAAGAAGGCTTGAGCCCACTTTTAACTTATTTTGGTTTCCATCTTCTCCGTTTAACCTGATTCTGTTTCCTGCTTGCGTAAGTGTTTCCTTTTGCTTCTATTCTTTAAGAAGTTCTGTAGGCCATCTTTCCGAATGAAAGTGCTACAGACTGAATTATGACCCTTTCCAAGTTCATATGTCGAAGCCCTAACTCCCAATATGACGGTCTTCGGAGATGGAGTCTTAGGGAGATAATTAAGGTTTGAGGAAGTCAGGGGGGAGAGGGGCTCATGATGAGATTCATGGCTTTATAAGAGGAAGAGAGAGACTGTACTCTTGGCCCTGTGAGAACACAGCAAGGTGGCCCTCTGCAAGCCAGGAACCAAATCAGCTAACATCTTCATCTTGGTCTTCCCATCCCTAACAGGAATACATGTCTGCTGTTTAAACCACCCAGTTCATGGGATTTTGTTGTAGCTCAGTTTGAGCAGACTAAGACAGAGAAGTGTCTGGAGTTGAGAGTCTAAACCACAACGTGGATGCGAAGATAATCCATTCACTGGTTCCACGACACTTCCTCCCAGGAGGACCTCCTTCCAAATCTCCTTGAAAAGAAAGCATGTGGGGGTACCCGGGAAACTGCTGCTGCCATGTGCCAGACGATGAACTCTGACAAGACTCTAGACTAACACGAAGTTTAACTTTAAAGGTTTTAAGAATTTCTAAAGATAGTCTACAGAATATGAACCTAGAAAATAGAGTCACTAAACCCAGTCACTAGACTTACAGGGACTAACTCCCAAAGTCTGGGAATTCTTTGTTTTGTAAACATGTTTACAAATATAGCCACGTTGTTCTAAATGGAAATGACTGGAGTATTTAATACTGGGATTGTCCTTTCTTCCAACTGGATTTATGCTTCATAATGATTATCTTCTAGACACAGAAATAGCATTTCTGTAACTCAAAACTGTTACCGGAGGCATTTAGTAGAATCTTGCTTTAAAAATATAATGATTTTTCATCTTTATTCTCCCCCCTTCAAAAGGTTTCACTGCTCCTGATGTTAACGTTATGCAAAGACGTGTTTCTGCCAATGAATATCGCCTTATGGTTATGCTTCTGCAAATAGCCTGCTGTGAGCTGATAAAGGGATTAATGCAGCCAAAATTCTTAATCTGTGAAATTACAAATTAAATTCTCATATTAAAAATACCACCCTGAGGTATTTTTTGTGGTTTTAATTCCCCTCTGGTGTTCTGCATACATTGTGCTTGTTAATGATGGGGACAAGGCTGTCTCCGCTGGCAGTCTGCTGCCGAGTGATAATGTGGAAGCATTTATTCACTGATAGGAACTGGATTTAACCACGGCTGATAAACTAAGTGGCAAGTGGGTAATAAGTCCATATTAACAGAAAAGTACTACTACAGAATTCAGAATTCACAGACCATCAAAATCCTGGCTTAAACTCAATCATCGAGTCAGATGGGATTGAGATGTCACCAAGGAGGAGTGGTATCAAGTTACAAGCTACACTAAACGGGAAAACAAGCCATATGTTTGAGTGTGATGAGACATAAACGAATGAGCCTATTTACATCACTTTTTTTCTTTCAGTATAGGAAGATGTGTCACCAATTCATTATTTTTCTCTAGGAATGTCATCTTTAACTTTTTGAAAGCTAGGGATAGCTGTTGTAATAATCAGTGGGAGACCTTGAGAGGAGGTAGGGTAGGCAATAGAGTAAACTTGAGCTGGGAACATGTGAGTTGTTCATGAGAATCTGCTCGGCATATGGGGAGTAGTAGATTAATACATCTACAGTAACTCTGGGGTTAAAAAAATAATTAGAAATAAATGTGGGATATCATAAAGACATTTAGGGTAGGAAATACCCAAGAGTAATATCTAAATACTTAGATCCAAAATAGTTATTATCATCAAGAAGGATTCACTATTACAGTGGGGAGCGGGGGGAAGAAGCCTAAAATTTAAGAGACTAAAGAAATAACTTTATGTCTACTCTAAATGATGTAGACCCAAGGATTAATAAATATATCATAAAGATTTGTGCATACATGCTGTACATTAATTTTTAAGGCAATCAGAAAAGTGTATAAAAAGAAATATCTCTAATTGTTCTTTGAAAAGAACATATCACTAACGAACAAAAACGTTCCTACTGCAACAGTATTTTACAAAATTTCACAAGAATTCTGTTTCACACTTTGGAAGAAAGCTGAGATCCTCCCAGCCGTAAATCCTCCCTCAAATATTTAAAACGTAATTGAAAAAGGCTGTGCAAATATGAACACTTTTGGAAAAACAAAACAAAACAAAGCCAGGAATGTGTTTTGTTTTAAAAGATCCAGAGAAGAGCTGTCTGTTCGAACACCAAGAGCATTTGCCATTAAAATGAATTACATGTCTTCAGTTCATACATGTCAATTCAGTGCATTAGCCAATTGCCAACTGTTTTCTCAGCTCACTGCATAGCAGACCTTTTTAAGGTTATTGTTACAACCAAGATGGTTTCTGAGAATCAAACAGACATGAATCATCTTCTCCTCTGTGTACTGCAGCCAGTTAAAAAGTACTGTATGCATAAAGCACTAAATATGTAAATCATATTTTCCTGTTCCTTTATGACCGCTCAGATCATTTTTTTGGACATACACATAATCAAATACAAAGACGCACAGCTGCAGACTGCAGAGCAGAGATAGCAAAAAAGGAATCCATTTTCTTCTTGTGTCTGGTAAGCTAGCAATTGAATGGCAAGATTCCACTAAATATACATACACATGGCCCCCCTTGTCCTCTGTTTTCTCTGTCTGCATACACATACACATACGTGTGTATGCCACGCACTCACAAACATGCACTATCTTACATTTGTGCACGCATAAACACGTCACTCTCTCCACGTGCATGTTACATATAGGTGCTAAATTATGTCTTTGCTTTGATTGGATATTACAGATTTGTCACACTCACTATCTGTCAGTTCCCATAGCCGTGGGGGCAGGTCACTAAAATACTCATGGCTCAAGGCAGCCTGTGCCGATAGTCTGTTCTTTGGGGAACATTGTAGGAGCTTGGAGGCCAGATCCTCTGCGTGATTCACATAGCTGAGCCTAAAAACACAAGCAAAAGAGAGAAATCAGACCAAATAAGAAATCCACTAAATAAGATGTAAAGCGCACCTAAATTTTCTTGGACTTCAATTTACTACTGGCTAAGGAAACAAATTACCTGCTGAAACTAAACAGAAGCAAAATTCACAGTAGTTCTTATCTGTTACTTCAAACAGATTTCTTCAGTAGATATTCTAGCATCATCGATTTAATATATTCCTACTACAGGCAAAGGGTTGACACTTTCAGAATAGGTAAAATTAGGTTCAGAGGTAGAAATTTTCAGAAGACAGTTTATCAAATAGTTGCCAGAATTTGTCCATAGAATCTATGTGCTGCATTTGGATACATTTAGAAGAAACATTTATGAGAATTTGGATACATCTATAGGAAATTGATACCAAATAACTAGGATAATTAAAATAACCAGCTTCTATTAAATTATGTATTTACTGAAGTGCATGTTCCTTGAAGAATTTTCATTTTCTTGCCGTAAATATAACATTATTGGAACATAATGTTCTGTCAATATCAACAATCATAATACTAATACACAGGTTAGCAAAGGGGATATGCTGAAATGGTATGGGGCCAAATCAATTCCAGATGACCTTCAAAACCACAGTAGATAGAAAATGTGTGACTTAAGATTACAGGAAAAAGGCATGAAAATAAAATAGATAGCAATACCACTCAGTCTGGCCTAGCCTTGCTTTTCATGGGATTTCTATCTCTGCTCAGAGCAATCAAGCCTAGATGATTAACATAATGACAATAAGAGTATTCCTAATAATGGCTACCATTTACAGAGAGTTGAACATGTGTCAGGTACTCTCCTGAGTACTTTTCACACTCATATTTATTATGATCCGAGAAGGCAGCTGTTCCCATTTAACATTAGTAGAAGCCAAGTAGGAGTCAGAGGTGGTAGTGGACACTCAGTTAGCAGGGTGACTAGAGACTCAACCCCATCTAGAACTACTGGACTCTAAAGTGGTTTGCACACGCCAGGATCTCTTTCTCTCACAGATCATTTCTAAAGGCTTTTACCCGAAAATTCCAGAGTTTCTGCAGCATGATGCAGTATGCACAGTAACTCTCAGTGGCAGCCAGAAGTGGCTGAGGGAAAGTTGCACCTGCCAGTAGGTTTTTTAAAAAAAAATTCTTGAAGCTACTAAGCACACAATTAGTCAAAAACGTCCTCCCTCCATGACCAACAATCTCTTCCTTCCCCTCCTCAAGTAGCTCTTTAGCACTGATTAAAAAGCCATAAAGAGGGACAAATATATGGAGTTTGCAGCAACTTGGATGGATTTGGAGTCCATCATACTCAGTGATTTATCACAGAAACAAAGAACTGAGTTCCATATGATCTCACTCATAAGGTGACCTTGAACAATTATAATACTATAAGAAAGAGATTGATAGTAGTGGAAAACTGTCTGGGGGGG